AGGGAAGGTTGAGGTTTGCCAGTAGAAGTCGAACAGAACTCCCTAAGCTAGATGATAAATTCAATTTTGGTCACTCTACTTTTAAAAAAAGCAAACTAATCCATATACATTTTTGTATTGGCAGGTTGACCCCTCCTTTTAAATAGCGTATTGATTTGGCAAGAAGGGAAAAAAAGGCTTAAATACTAAATTGGTCTTTGTATTTAACACTTTTCTACCGGTTGGTATTTTTACTTTTCTTTTGTTTTAAATTAGTACCCTACTTTAATTACATCCACTATTTTAATAACTTCAGGTAATATTATTTTAAAAAATGTCATGAAAACATCAGATTTTAACAGATACCATCATCTGTATTTTTAAAGTTGAATAACAACTAAAAGTAATTAATACAAAATGTGTATTCTTTCAAATACAAAAAGTTAGGGTAAACTATAAGATTGATCACTTTCGTTTAAGTTTTGTATAATTTTCCTTATTGAATTAAAAAACATAATATTTAATCCCTTTTGTTTTTATTTCATTAAAATGCGTTCATGTTTGTTTTTATTAAATTAAGATGTAATCACTTATCTTATCAAATTTTAAATGTTTAATCACTGAAATTTTAAATGTCGTTAATGAGGAAATAAAATTAGATTGACTATATCTTAATTAAATAAAAACGAAAGTTCAAATATTTTTTTTAAAATTTAGTGAGGAGAAATATACAAGACTAAAATGAAAGTGATCAATCTTGTAGTTTACCCAAAAAGTTAACATAAAATGTACAATTAGAAATTAGAATCCAAAATTTGCATAACTATCGAGGAATTTCAAATTAATTCAATATAAAATGTATACGACTTCTCTTTCAAATATAAATTTGTAGGACTTAAATGCAAATAGTGCGTATGAAAAAAAAGAAACCGAAGGAGGGCACGAGACTCGAATGACAAGTTTCGATTCGACATGATCCGATCCGATGTGGAGTTTTTTTTTAAAAAATTGGGTTCAAGTCGGGTCATGTCGAGGTTTTAAAAAAATATGTTTGAGTCGTGTCGGGGTCGAGTTTAGGGTAAAAATATTCAATCCAATCTGATTCGAAAAAAATTTAATTTAGATATTTAAATATAATTGTAATAATAACCCTCTACATTTTTTTCCAATTAGATCAAATTTTTATTGAATAAAAATAATATTTTTATAAATATATTTATTTCAAGTCAAATTGAGTTTGATTTTATCTCAAAAAGTTAGTTGATTTCGGGTCAAATAAATTTATGGCTAAATCTTATGTCGGATCAAGTTTCAGATGGAAAATATATATTTTCAGAACAGATCGAGTGACCGAAAAGTCGACCCAATCCCAGCATGTCCATCCCTAAAGGAGATAGTGGGGGCCAGTTGTTTAGAAGCGTGCGTCTTCGACCGTTTCAATTCCTCTACCCAAAAACATTTCATTCCAATTAGGATGTAATTATATTTCTTAATAATCTATTATAAGAATTTCAATCATATAATAACAATTGTAAGTGTTAATCCAATGCGTGACATAATGACAACAAATTTGCTAGAACAAATTTTTTGTTTATGTTAAATTTTATTCATGTTTAATGGAAGAGAGGATAATTATGAATGTTAACAGTGATTTATTTTTCATTTGAACGAATAATTAATAATTATTGTGTTAATTAATTTGAATATAATAATTTGTGGAGAGTCAAGATAAACTATCAGTGAAACAAAACTTATATCACAAAAAAAGTACCTAGAGTATAGTCTCTTCTTCATTTAAGTACTTCAAATATTTTTTGGTCAAAATAGGTACCTAAAGTATTTTTATCTCAAAATAGGTACCTAAACTATTCAAACTTTTTCATTTAAGTTCTAAAAAAATTGACATGTGGCATTACTTAAAGAATACTTTAGGTACCTATTTTAACCAAAAAATATTTTATGAGCCTATTTTGACCAAAAAGATAATTTTTGGTACTTATTTTGACCAACAATTACTTTAAGTACTTAAATGAAAAAGATGATATACTTTAGGTATTTATTTGTTATATAAACCTAAAAATGAGATAACTTATAAATAGATATGAAAATAAATTATCAATAAAAAATACATAGAAAAAATGGTCTCTTGGTCCATCTCTATCTCTAGAGCAATTTTCTTGAACATAGGATGATTGTTAATATAGATTAGGGATGAACATGAATAAAGTTGGATTCGATTTTTGGCCCACCTAAATTTGACTTGAGCATAACATCCCTCCTTATGTCATTTAACTCAAATTTGATTTGTAACACCCCAAATTTTGGATTAGTAGTTTCGGGTTTATCCGAGAGAGTTGTGGACACCGTGAGCTTTATAATTCAAGTCTTTGGGCTTAATTGGGTTGGACTTGGGCCCAAATAACCATAAAGAGGTGATTTTAGCATGATAGAAAGATAAAGAGGGACCAATAGTGTATTTATACCATTTTTAAAGAGGTGATTTGTGTAGTTGAGCATATTAGGGTTTAAACTTGATTTCAAGATTAAGAGACGTTTTAGGTGTTAATGAAGAGTTTTTATGACACATTGAGACCCTAGTTAACTCTATAAAACTTTTGTACATTATTTAGAATCAAACCATGGCCTTTAAAGTGATTTTTTGGGTGTTTTTTGAATCTAAAATACCTATTTTAGGGTTCGAGTATCGATATTGAGATAAACAATATCAATACTGGATAAATTGGGGGGGGGGAATTAGGGATTTCAGGCAGGGAGTATCAATACTGCCAGGGGAGTATCAATATTGCCCCTACAATATCAATACTCAAGGTGACATTATCGATATTGAGCCCCAATTTCAATAATAGAATGTATTTTTTGTACCGGTACTCATAGGAGTATCGATACTACCCACCTTGGATGATCATATTTGACCTGGTTAAGGCCTAAGATCAATGTATGATTTGTAAGGATATAACTTAGTCCGTGAGAGATGTAAATGGCCAAAGGGGCCCAGTGACACTCGTATAAGTGGGTTACATCCAGTGTAACCATAACAGGCGTAGCGCATCCAAGTATCTTCAGTTGAAAACATAACATATTTCTAAGAATGGAGGATCATTGCATAGGATGTATCGACAATCGATATGATCGAATAATCAGATTATGAAACAACGGAGTTGTTTACCGCAAGAACGACCGAGGGTGTGAGACGTACATTTATCCCTTTAATTTGAGAGCGAATTGAGTGAAATAGAAGTAATAGCAAAAATAGTATCGCTACCCATAAATGAACTTGAGTAAAATATCGGGCTATCCAGAATCACAACCAGTAAACAACAAACACAATAATCATCATGGAGTCACGAAACACGTAGAGATTTCTCTAGAGCTATAGAGTGTCTAAAACGCCTTATGTATCGAACAACCGGATCAGTATAAGTTATTAGTAATAAAAGACTAACAAATCCTGGCATAGCATTCTAGATGAGTGAACGAGCGAGATAAATGTTAGGGAGAACCGTAAACGAGATCAGTAATAACACAAAACAACTAACAACAATAATAGCTAGAATGTCATAAACTAGCCTTGTGTGACACTCGAGAAACAACTAGAACACCCGAGTATTGTACGTAGCTTAGTTCGTGGAGCACCGTTGCAGCATGACTTCCAGCCTCTCATTTAGAGTATTGTGCGTAGCTTAGTGGACATATGTATTCATAGAACCTTACTCATGTATTCAGTTTATGAAACTTATATTATGTATTATTTTGGTTTTAAATTATGTGTCACGGAGCTTCGATTTTGTAAATTGTTTTGTAACAATTATTTATGTTTATTTATGATACTATTCAGCATGTTTGAAAAGAAAATGAACATGTTTTGAAAATCAGAGGTTGTCTCGGTAGCCCAATCGAGTTTAGGGTGCTACGAGATTTAAAGAAATTCATTTGGACTCAAAACTCAATATGATTTTCAAGGTAAATGCTTACACCAAACCCTATCCACATATACATAATTATCTGAAAACTTAATTTAATATATATATATATATATATATAAGTGAAAATATATTATAGTAATTATCTATAAATACATAAAGGTCAATAACACTATTATTTTTAGACGAAATACTTTTCATCTCAAATTCAAATTTAATTTGATTTTTAAAAAATTTAACTCGATCGAATATAACTTTATAATTAAAAATGATCTTATTCGGATTCGGGTCGATGGCATGATTATTAAAGACATATATTTATAACTGTTGATAGAGATTACTCATAACGTCTCAATAAAAAGTTCACATTTTATTTTTTTAATAATATATATTTTCCTGATTTAAATTCTTTTTATGCTAAATATATTGTTGATAAAACTATAAAACATAAGAATAAAATAGTTTTTAATTATATTAATTAATTAAAAACTGTGATTAAACTTCAACATTTTTATAAGAAAATGTTAACTGTAATATTTGTAGTAAAACATAAAAAATAATATTCTTTTTGAAAATGGTTAATAATATATATATATATATATAAAATCTTGACAACACATATTGCTGACTTAATGGAGCTTTACTTTGACTAAGCCAACAATGATGTCGAAAAGAAAGAGAGAGAACTACTCTAACATCAACCCCGATGATTCTTCCCTTCTTTTTCTTCGTTATTTCACCTTCGTTACCAAATACACCATTTCCTCTCTCTTTCTCTCCATTTTGTCCCAAACACTGGCGGAAAAAAAAACTCCATAATTACCTTGTTGAAGAGGCAAGAGGGAGAAAATTAGAGCCGGGAAATTTTCTGGAATCTTTTTACTTTTCGAACTTTATTTCGTGTGTGTGTGTGTGTGTTTTAGTTCTTGCTCTTTGATTCGGTCAACGGCCGATACGTGTGCGATTTTTCATGTTCGTTTTTAGTTTGAATTGACGGGTCCGTGATTCATCTGGTGGATGATGATGATAATTTTGGGGATTTAGCTCTTTGACATCAGAAGTAGCCGACAATAGGGGGATATGATGGAGCGGTTGATTTCCGTTTGTTTATGGTTGATTTTCGTGTTGGATTTGGTTTTCAGAGTCGCGGGAAATGCCGAAGGTTTGTTATCTTCGTTTCTTAACTTCTTTATTTTTCATTTAATGAGCGTATTTCTTGTTTTCCGATTTTGTTAAGCTTTTAATGTGGAATTGTTGTTTAATAGGTTGGAATTAGAGGGTTCTTGATTTAGTAGGTATTGGATTGGTTTATTAATAGCATGAGGTGGACTCCTTGTTTCAAATTTCAGTTGAGCTAATTGATTTCACTGTAGACACAGTTTGACGCTTCGTAATGATTAATTTCTGCGAAAATTTTGGATATATTACCTTCCGATTCACGATTTTGGTAGTTCACCGGTATCTGGGGTTTGGGAAGTACTAATTCCATTGTGTTGGGCCTTTCAAGTTATGGTGAAGTTTTTTCCCTTCCCATTATTTCAGTGAGGGAACCCTAATCAGGGATCATTTAGCCTTAAACTAGATAATTGAAGTATATATAACAATGATTCTGAAAACTAGTAACTATATATGCCTAACAATTACTAACATTTTTTTTATAAGAATAGGCCCCGTTAAAACCTCCCTTCTTAACTGTCCGTTCCCCCCAAAAGGGTGAACAAACAATCAGCGGAAGGAGGAAAAGAGTAACAATTACTAACATATATGTCTATGGTAACATGCATGTTATAAGAGATTGTCAAAATAAGTATATGAAAGTTAATAATGTATATTTAAGAAAATACCACGTAATTAATGTAGAAATAAGTTTTATGAAATCAGAAGTGTATATAGTTATTGAATAAACCTAATTCCTTTTTCAAGTATCTTGCTGCTACAAATATGAGAAACACACTTCTTTTATTTGCCAGTAGTTACAGTAATTAAGAAAGTTCTTGTTCACTTTCCTATTGTAGTTATATTTTATCAGAAGATATATATGTTGCTTGCTGTTTGCCGAGTCTGTTGTTTTGCTGCCGCCAGAGATCTATTGCTTTTCCTTATATATAAAACAGGTGATGCTTTGAATGCATTGAAGACCAATGTGGCTGACCCTAATAATGTGTTGCAAAGTTGGGATCCCACCCTTGTTAATCCTTGTACATGGTTTCATGTTACATGTAATAATGAAAATAGTGTAACGAGAGTGTAAGTTTACTTTTCCTACCTTCATATATGTTACTTTCGAATTTGTAGTTTCACATATTAAAAGTGTTTTCCCTATTATGAAATCAGCGATCTCGGGAATGCAAATCTCACTGGTCAACTGGTTTCTCAGCTCGGACAGCTTCCGAATTTGCAGTATTTGTAAGTCAATAATGTTTGACCTAGTTATTACATGCTTCCTAAAATATTAGAATTATTTTAAGAAAAAAAAAGATAAATGACGGAAAATCAGAACACTTGCATAGTTTGCCAAATAGTTAATTCCATACTTGGTTGATTAGGACTTCCTTTATATGATTTCCATGATTTGATTGCTGTAGATAGGTAATCATATTCTTTTAAATTCATACCATATAAAATTGGATAAACAAAACTTTCTACAATGCTGAGTTAAACTCAAGGTCAAATTCAAGTCCTCCAACCATTGGTATCAAGGGCACCAGGTGCACTCTAGATGTTAGAACCCCAATTCAAGGTGCAAGGACCTTTCTTGGAGATTCTTGAGGTGAAACTTTATTTGGTGCTGCATTTTTGTGTGTGGAAGTCCATGGCTGGACAACAATGAATCTGCCTTAGAAAAAGTAGAAATGGTTGTATGCACTGGTTTTCATTGCTTTTGTTCGGTTTATTTGTTTTGCCATGTTAATCTTGAAGACGCTTGTATTTGATTGGATTTAGTTGCATATTTCATGCAAAGATACTTGGATACATGCTTCAATTGAAATTGTTCAAGAATTACTAATACCTCTTCTTTTAAATAACAGGGAGCTTTATAGTAATACAATATCTGGGATAATTCCAGAGGAGCTGGGGAATTTGACGGAATTGGTGAGCTTGGATCTTTACTTGAATGAATTAACCGGAGGCATCCCAACTACTCTGGGCAACCTTAAAAAACTCCGTTTCTTGTACGAACTCATTTCTCATTTTCATGTGGCTATTTTATCATTTCTCATTTCTCATTTTCATGTGGCTATTTTATCAAATTTCTTTGTGTTCTTGCTTTCTAGTCATAGTTGTTTAGTATAACTAGAAGGTTTTATGCGATGAGATATTGCCAGCCAAAAATGGTATTATCATTAAAAATGTGCATTCTTATTTATAGCGGGGTTGTTTGTTATGAAAATTTCTTTCTCCTCCTATGCATGTAAAATGTTGGTATTAGTCGTTTTTACAGGGAGAGAGTAGATAGGAGATAAACCTATTGGGAAAGTGAAACCTATTTCTTGTCTGTCAACCCTTCCCTCGAACTCAGTGGAATTTTAGCTATTCATCTAGAAGAAGAAGAAGAGTTATTAGTGTCTGTTTGCTTTGCACTTTTGCTATTGGTTCCTAAAAATGAAAGGGCAAAAAGCATGTCTAGAGGTAAAAACAAATTAAAAAGGTTTAAGAATTATATGCAAAAATATTATCCTTTAAGATGACAAAATACACAAGTCTGCTTCAATCTGGACCAATTATATTATAATAATTGCTATCACTTTTCAACTGTTTGTCCACCGAAAATCAATTCACACAGTGCTAGTGAGATTTTGGTCCTGTGGCGTGGGTCTTCGCATTGTGATTGTAATGTGGGACCTTGGTGAGGGCGTCAAGAATTTGAGTGGGTGGGACTTGGGAATGTGAAGCCCGTCCCTTATCTGATGTGAGTGTGTTTGAACTTAGATGAACCGGATTAAAATGGGTTCCCTGAGCGGTAGGCTGTTTTCACCTCTTATATTTGTGCTAACATGTTTCTCTATGAGTGGTTTTTTTCAGTCACACATCTATTTACCATTATGCAATATATTTGATGCTTTCACTTTCTTTCTGTGGAATAGGCGTCTCAACAACAACACGTTGGCAGGAACAATTCCTATGTCCTTAACTGCTATCGACACACTGCAAGTGCTGTGAGTGTTGATAGAATTCTTCTCCTCATTAGCTGTCTACATTTGGGGTCAAGAACAGTTCTAATGGAGTTGGATGTTATATCATTTGTTGTTCAGGGATCTTTCAAATAATCGTTTAACAGGAGATGTTCCGGTTAATGGTTCCTTTTCGCTATTCACTCCTATCAGGTTTCTCTTGCGTTATCTCATTTTGTTCCCACTGTCTCACTCTCAACTTTCGGCCCACCTCCTGCTTGCTCCCATTTTTCATATTTAAGGCTGCCATGCCAGTCTCTTGATTTTCTACATCTTTTTCTGTTTGACAGTTTTGCTAATAATCGACTCAATAATCCTCCACCTGCTCCACCGCCTCCTATCCCACCTACACCTCCGGCACAATCAGGTTTGTTCTCGATTTTATTGTAACTTATTATTTCTTTTTCACTGCTAACAAATCTGAAAATGTGCCTAATTTGGAGCCTCATTATTTATTCTTTTTTTTTGAGATATTCCTTTGAATTGTTGCATCCTCAACTTTTTTGGCGTTACATAGCTTGGTAGCATGCAAAACTGTTGTAATCTTGTGTAGAAGGTACTTTTAAGTTCAAATTTAAATCTGATGATGAAATTATCGAGTGGTTTTGGGTTCCTTAGTGCTAGAGCATTGTCTGATTGCTGAGCACAAAAGTTCACCTGGTTGAAATGTTACCTGCTAAATTGGTGTTGTTACCGGCTGAAAATGTTAATTAACTATAAGATTATTGGTGGAAGCTGTTGGGCAAGGTCCTCTCTTTTTAGCGGAGTTGTTGGCGATCAAACATGGTTTAGTTCTGTTTTTAATATTGGACTTGAATGAGTATAGACTGATATTGGAAAGTGACTTCAAGTCTGTGTTAGATTGGATTGCCTACCCTTCTTTAAGCCTTGGTCGCTTTTCTAATCTCGTCCGAGATATAGAAGCGATTGTAAAGGGTTGCGCGGTTATCTGTCGTCATGTTAGTCGATGCGCGAACGCAAGGGCGGATGAATTGTAAAGGAATTGGATAGTTGGTTAAGATTGGGTCTAGTTAAGATTTCTAGGTTTGGTTAACAGGGATCTTATTTTGTTGGGTGCTGGGTTTTAGTGTTGTATTCCTGTTTTTTTGGTGTTGTTTTGTAATCTGTTGATTCTAATAAAATTCTGAGGTACTCTTTTCCTCCTCTACTTTTTGGCATTCTTTGCGGAGTGCTGAGAAGCATAAAGGGGTTTTTTAATCAGACCTCCTACTTTTATCAAAAACCATAAGATTCTTGATATAGGTGAACTGAGTATATATTCTTCATTCTGGCAGGTATTAGTTCCACTGGTGCTATTGCTGGAGGAGTTGCTGCTGGTGCTGCGCTGCTGTTTGCAGTTCCTGCAATTGTACTTGCTTTGTGGAGAAAGAGGACACCACAGGACCATTTCTTTGATGTACCTGGTTAGTGATTTTTCAAAACATAGTTTTACTTGATATTATTTCCTCCTTCCAATGTCCGTTGAGTTACTTATGTAGCTCGGCGGTTATGAAGGGTTTTTTAATGAGACCTATTCTTATTAAAAAAAAACATAGTTTTACTTAATATTATTTCCTTGTGTATGCATTCACCTTTTTCGTTGTTTTTTAGCCGAGGAGGACCCGGAAGTTCATTTGGGACAACTTAAAAGGTTTTCTTTGCGAGAACTACAAGTTGCAACGGATAATTTTAGCAACAGACACATTCTGGGTAGAGGAGGTTTTGGTAAAGTTTATAAAGGCCGCTTAGCTGATGGTTCTCTAGTGGCAGTAAAAAGATTGAAAGAGGAGCGTACACAAGGTGGAGAGTTGCAGTTCCAAACAGAGGTAGAAATGATAAGTATGGCTGTCCATAGGAATCTACTACGACTCCGTGGCTTTTGTATGACCCCTACAGAACGATTGCTAGTCTATCCCTTTATGGTTAATGGTAGTGTTGCATCTTGTTTAAGAGGTACATACTGTTTTCTCCTTTTTACATCTTTAGTTTTGTCTTTCCAGTTTCTCCAATGCCGTCTCTATATCTATGTATTTTTGGTTACCAATTTTTTCCAATGTCAATTATATAAGCTTGAATTGTCAGTATCTGCTTTATTGCTTCTTCACTTGGATAAGAAATTTAAAATACCATCACATCTTGTAATCTTGTTTTAAACTGTTTTAACTTTCATTTGATAAGGTTACACTTTTGGTAAATGCTGGTTGTGTTTAAATCCAAGTGGTGTTTTGAGAAATTCATGGAGAAACCAAATACTTTGTGAGCTCCTCTTGTTAGAATGGACTATCTATTAATCTGTTTTTATGTTCCCTAGAGCGTTCCGAGTCTCAACCAGCACTTGATTGGGCTATAAGGAAAAGAATTGCACTTGGTTCTGCAAGGGGGCTTGCATATTTGCATGATCATTGTGACCCTAAGATTATCCACCGTGATGTGAAGGCTGCAAATATATTGCTGGATGAGGAATTTGAAGCAGTTGTCGGAGACTTTGGGCTGGCCAAACTGATGGACTACAAAGATACTCATGTTACAACCGCTGTTCGTGGCACAATTGGTCATATAGCTCCCGAATACCTATCAACTGGAAAATCGTCAGAGAAAACTGATGTTTTCGGGTATGGTGTTATGCTTCTTGAGCTCATTACAGGACAGAGAGCTTTTGATCTTGCTCGGCTTGCAAATGATGATGATGTCATGTTGCTTGATTGGGTACTACTGTCCTCCCATTATGTTTGTATTCTAAGTTTGACTTTTACTGTTCTCGTTCAGTGTTGGAATTATTCAATGCTAGCTTTTCTTGGTTGGCCACAAGCAATACACTTGAGATTATAATAGCAAAGCTTAACGAAAGTTGTTTTGAAGGTGCAAATGCAGCAGCAGAAAAATAGAAATAGTTGAAACTTGACGATATTTTCCCTGCAAGATGAAGGCGGAAAAAGAAAGGAAATATAGAAATAGTAGGCGGAAAAAGAAAGGAAATATAGAAATAGTTGTTAAAATTTGTTTATACGGGAGATACAATCTATTTTCATTTTTATTTTTATGTACGAGAATGCATGTTTCGAACAAGGCCACGTTAAGAAAGCATGTTTCGAAATTGTGTGGTCTTTGTCGACTGCAATCTGTGTTGCTTAGACTCTTCATTCAGGTACCTATGCCTGCAATCTGTGAACTTGATAGCAATGCTGAAATTTCAGGTGAAAGGTCTTCTGAGTGACAGGAAGTTGGAAACGCTGGTGGATTCGGACCTCAGTGGTAATTATGTAGACGAAGAAGTGGAGCAGCTAATCCAGGTGGCTCTGTTGTGCACTCAAAGCACCCCAATGGAACGGCCAAAGATGGCTGAAGTGGTGAGGATGCTGGAAGGCGACGGCTTGGCTGAAAGATGGGAAGAGTGGCAGAAAGACGAAATTGTCCGCAAAGAGTTCAACCATGCCTACCACTTCAACCACCACCAACCCAACGGGAACTGGATCATTGCAGACTCCACTTCTCACATCCCTCCAGACGAATTATCCGGTCCAAGATGACCCTCTCCAACTTGTCGCCACAAAAATACATTACAAGGGTCTTTCTACACCACCTTGTCTTGCTATTTTAGACTGTCCATTGTTCACATTTGTGCATATAGTTCCTTTTTTGTACTTCATTTGGCTCCCATTGATGCTGTTGTAATTTATATTTGCATGTTGTACGGAGTTGTTTACTCTTAGGCTTTGTAAACATTATAGGATTGCCTTGCCAACTGCAGAGTGGAGAAAACATTATTAGGTGTGCTAGCCAAAAGAGGTAAATACCACCCAATGTTATTTTGGTGTACTGAAACGTTGGCGAAGACTGTTTACCAGGAATAAATACAGTAAAAGTCCATTTGCCTCCCAATGTTATGAAGTCAACATTAAATCAACAGTACGAAGCAAACGATCTCGGAGATAAATGAATTGTTGTTATTCTTTAATATCTTAAATTCGAGTGGTCTGGGTGTAAGCGTTGTTAAATGGATAAAAATTATCTTTGAACATATATTATTTTATATTTACTTTAGAATAATAAAAAAAATCAACCAAAACCAATCAATGGTTTGTTTAATGATTCGTCAGCGTCGTCAATGATAATATCGGTTAGTGAGCGCTCGATATTTCTAACTAAAATCAAAATAACTAATAAGAAAGGGGTATGATCATCTTATAGAATATAAAATTCTTTTAGTTTTAGACAGACTTAAGATATTTGGATGAGTGAAAACAGTAAAATAAGAAATACAAATATATTTACTGAAAAATAAAGAATCAATCTCAGTTAAACGAATTAACCCAATCAAAAATAGTTTATTTAATAGAATCCGATTTTAACCGAATATATTTGCCAATAATTCAAACCATTGAATAAAAAGTAAACATTTGTCCACTTGAATAAAAGCATCTTGTATTCTAGATTACTTGCCATTATTTTTAATGGTTTAATATACGAGTAGCACCTTGAAATGTACTATTTTTCAAAAAAAAAAAAAGTACTTAAAAGTTTAATTTTTAAAGAATTACTCTCTACCCTTATCATTATTTTCACTTTCCATCCTATCCGATGACCTGAAATTATGAGTATGTAATGGATCGAGTTGACTAAAAGATTTTTGAGTTAGTCAAATCTTGATAACTTCTATTTTATAACTCAAATTTTATTTAAAAATATTTAGAGTTAAATTTATAAACTCCGTTCGAGTCGAGTTATTTGAATTTTTATTTAAATTTAATTATAAATACTTATATTAATTGATTATAATTTAAACGGTTTTTTACCCATATATATATATATTTGAGTAACTTGATTAAAACTTTAAAATTAATCCTCTAAAAGTTAATAATTTTTGGTGGACCAATTAAACCCTAAAAACTTAGTTTTCTCTCATTGGTGTGCAACACCAATTTTAATGTTGATTGTCGACCGTCGGAATTTTTTATTTTCTTTTTTCTTTTTAGTATTTTTACTATTTTGTTTTATTCCATTTTCTTCGTTTAGAAATTGATTAGATTCAAACGATAATATAAAATAAAATCTAAAACTACTTGGTTCTTGTTGGTTTTCACTGGTTTGTTATTTTCCACGTTTCAGGTTCTGGTTTCTGTCAAATACTAATTCATTATTCTTCAACGTGAATGACTATTCCGTTTCATAAATATTGCTGTTGAAAGATCACATATCTTAAGCTCTCTGCATTAGATTTTTAGGGTTGAAGGGTAGGTCCTCATTCATTTCCCTTCCAGGAAATTCTGTTGATGGACATGTGTATTCGATATAATTTATTTATCATGCAAGCTTTGATATAAATATTATTGGGTTGATCATGTTTATGAAAGTCAAAATGGGGTTTTTTCCCACGATAATTTGGGTAGAATAAAGTTGCATTTGAATATGTTGACATGTTTAGTCAATAGTCATTGTTTTGTGGCATTTTCTGGTTGGTTGGTTTGAAGTTTCCTGGAATTTTAGTTGTGGCATGGTAGGATGACCTTTTAGGAAATTGTTTTTCTAAATGCATGCAAGACACGACGGAGGGAAAGATCGCCTTACTTATCAAGAGGATAAAGAACTATTATTGGTTATGCAGTCAATCCCTGTAGTAAGCTTCTAGTTGGTCGGAATTTAATTGGAGGAAGGACGTTTGGTTAGGCATTGCACCCTTCAGAGTTGAAGCCTTTATCTGGAGAGTGCTTCGACGTCGCATCCCAGTCAGAGTGGATCTTCAAAAGAGGGGAGTCATAGTCCCGGATCTTTGATGTCCGCTTTGCCTAGGTTCGCCAGAGTCCGTGGAACACCTCCTATTTTCTTGCGTGGTAGTTTGGAAAGTGTGGGGCTTTTTCCTCTCTCTGTAGGGGGTTGTGACAGCTTTCCCTGAGGAGCATATCAACTTCCTGCAGGCTTGGTGTGAGTATCTCCCTAGGGGAACGCCTTACAAATTAATCTGGAGTCTGCAGGCTGACGGAAGAGGTGGGGGCATCGGGGGAATTTTAAGGGATTCCAATGGTAGTTCGCTGTTTTCATTCTCGATTCCTATAGGGCGAAGGTCTTCGATTCTGGCAGAAATATTAGCAGTGGAACACGCGGTGAATTGGTCTATCGGCTCTACTTGGGTTGATTCATCGGGCCTTGTTCTAGAATGCGATTGTGAATCGGTTGTGAAATGGCTTAAAGACCCGGAGTTGAATCCTTTCGAGTGGAAAGTAGTCCTTAGACCGGTAGCAGAGACTGTTTTTAAAGGAAATTTCTTAATTAAACACATTCCTAGAATCAGGAACATGGCTGCAGCATATTAATGTACGAGGGTTTACCGGTACTGTGCTTGCGGGCAAAGGCATAGTAATGTATCCACTCTCTAATAACCCATTTGTCACAACAAGATCTCCAACAATATAACAGTGATTATAGCAGTTAAATGTCCGTTTTTGTATAAATGCCTGCAGTCTAGTCAAATGAGATACTTCGTTTGACCAAAAAATTCTTACGGACAAGTTTCTTTGTTGGAGTCGACTGAAAATCTTACTATGAATTGTGAATTTCTTAAGCTTTTGATATTCTTCGATAGCTTTGGGAGGGATTGCTTGCGCAAAGCTTAATCGAACCAATCTGAGGTCGAACCAATCAGAGGTGAAGATCATCTCAAATAGTTATTTATCAGCCTGTTTTAGTACATAAACATACTTCTTGTGTTCGTTAGAGAAGGTAAACTGTTAAATGGATTTGAGCTAAACCTCTAAAGAGGAAACAATAGTAGGTCAGAGAATATAGTTTTGAATCTAGGTAACCAGGACTGATGCATTTGTCTTTTTGATAACGTTCAGGCTATCCGCACGGTGATCGACTACTACAAGGAGAATGCGAGGATATTGGTAGGCACATTTGCTTCACTTGGTTTAGAAGTTTATGGCTGCGTCAACGCCCCATAATTCCTTCCCTGATTTAACAATCAGTCCATTTGTTCGCCAAATAATCCAAGTAATGCAGCTACAAGAAAGCAATTACATCTCGTACAGTTTGCAAGGGATTATGGATGGATTATTATTTTTTGACTCCACTTATGCAACCTATATCTCAGATGACAGGCCGAAATCGATCTCTGAAATTCCCGGCGCCAAAGAGGTACACTGCCGACATGTCATCTGGCTAAGAAAAAAGGTCGGTAGTCCCCGAAAAACTCTTGTTCTTTCAGGTGGGTTTCCTGTCATAAACGATTTGAATCGCATCGTATGCACCTGCTTCAATGGAGCATCCAACATAGCTCATGCTGGTGGATTAGCATGCCTTTCCCCAAAAGGTTTCCAGGTAAGTCATAAGTGTGACTACTAGAAGCAAGTCCAGGAAAACCTGGCACATAAATGTTCAGCTTTGGATCAAATGTGTACCAGGCTATCCGTGAGGTGATCGAATACTACAAGAACGCAAAGATACCGATAAACAAGTTTACCTCCCTAGGTTTAGAAGTTTATGGCGGAGTCAATGACGGCATAGTTTGGATGCATTTTCTGGGTTTTGGTCCTGGTGATGCAGAGTATATCAGAATCAGAGCTTTCGAGCAAAGAAAGCACATCATAGAAGCATCATGGATCCGGTTGGAAAAACTTTGCTTCAAGAGAGTACATCAGTATTCTCAGCCATGCCATCCCATCCCATGGTATAATCATCATGTAAAAATAACAAAATAACCTGGTAACCAATGGTTGGCTAAAAATGCAAGAGAATTTCCCTCACCCACCTATGCTTTGCAGATGATTTGTTAGTGTTTTGTAATGGTTCTGTTGATTCTGTTTTGGGAGTTCAAAGCACTTTAGAGAAGTTTTATGAGCTGTCAGGACTTAAGCTTAATGCTCAGAAAACTGAATTTTTTGCTTGTGGTCTGAATGAGCACACTGTTGAACAGATTTGTAGGGTTACTGGTTTTAGGTTGGGACAGCTCCCTGTCAGGTACCTTGGGGTACCTTTGGTGACCAGGAAATTAACTGGCAATGATTGTGCTGCCTTGTTGACAAGGATTAGAGACAAGCTTAGTCAATGGTCTAACAGGAAACTCAGCTTTGGTGGTAGGCTGCAGTTAGTTAAAACTGTTTTGTTCAGCATGTTTAACTACTGGAGTAGACAACTAATTTTTCCCAACTGGGTTATTAGGGATATTGAGAAGCTGTGTATGCGTTTCTTTTGGAAAGGCAGTGACTCACCTGCCAAGGGTGCCCGTGTGAGCTGGAGCCAGATATGTACTCTGAAGTCAGAAGGTGGACTGGGGCTTAAGAACCATGTGGACTGGAGCAGGGCTTGATGCTTGCTGCTAGTCCGGAATACCCTGGCGAATAATGGTTCTCTTTGGATTGCATGGATTAAGGAGTATTGTTTCAAGTCAGTGAGTTATTGGGAGGTTGTATGCAAGCCACATTTCAGTTGGATCTTAAGTAAGCTGCTAAGACTGAAAGAGGAAGCTCGGACTCTGTTTCTCCCTTGTGCTAACTAGAGCATTATAACTGGTAAGTGAATTTGGGATAATATTCGGGTCAATAGGGAGAAAGTTATTTGGCATAAGCTTATTTGGTTCCCTACTCATATCCCCAAGTTTTCGTTAATCTCCTGGATGGTCATCCTTGACAGGCTTCCTACCAAGGATAGGCTTGCTCGTTTTGGGTTGGTTGTTGATAATGTTTGTGGGTTGTGTGGGACTGGTATGGAATCTCGTGACCATCTCTTTGCTGATTGTTCTTATGCTAAGGATGTTTGGAGTTCTGTTTTGACTGCTTGTGATATCTCGCATGTGTTTCATAGCTGGGATGAGCTGTTCCATTGGTTGCTGGCTAATCTGAAGGGTAAATCCGCCAGAGTTTGTATACTCAAACTGGCATGGACTGGATATCTCTATTTTATATGGAGGGAACGCAATTCCAGACTCTATGGTAGGCTGGCTTGCTCGGCTGAGGTTACTGTAAATAAGCTTAGGGAGGCTGTGAAACTTAAACTGTATAGACAAGGCTTGTATAGGATTGGTGATGTAAATAGGCATTTGTTCATGAATTGGGGACTTATCTAGCTGAGTTGGTTCTGTTTTAGCAGCTTAGCTGCATTTCTTTTGGATGAATATAATTTACTTATCCAAAAAAAATAACCTGGTAACAAATGGTTGGCTAAAAATCTTGCCATCCTTTATGTTATGATCTGCAGGAATGCAATTTGTGACTTAACTATATCCATCACCTGGTATTTCTTCTCAAAGTGTTTCTTTTCTTTACATTAAACAAGGATAGAAGAGAAAATTTTGCCACTTGTATAATCAATCTTCCTGATGAAACAAATAAAAGCAACAGAACAGTTTTCGGAAAGTATTCCAATTGAGGCACTAGATGTTGAGGGTCTGACAACTTACGAGTTCAGAAGATCCGGCCATCCTTGTAGCAACAACCCTCCAAAGAACTGTTTCGGACGTTGTTGCAGGTTCTGCAGACTCGAGACGTGCACCGGTGGAGCTATCCGATGAAGATGATGAAGCTGATGGTGAGGAAACATGGTTTTGCACATCAGCCTGCAGGATAGAGATATTGTTGGCATCTTTAGCAATCACATGGATCTTTCCTAGTAAACCGGCAAGCAAATAGGGAGAGCCGGAATCAGTGAGGTTGTGAATCGGGACCTCTCCTACAACAACTTTCCAAACATCATCTTGGTAATCATATACCTTAATCCTCACACTTTCAGGAGAATTAGACAGATCGAGTGCATACAACTCACCATCCACGGTGACACTCAACTTTGTTCGGCTGTTGCAGGCCAACCATCACCCATGCCTGCCGGCATTTCGACCCATGAATTTACCTTTGGATCATATACTTCTCCTCCGACATCAACAAAAAACGGCCAGCAATATAAACTCTGAGGAACAAATAATCTTCCCCTGTATGATGTCATTCCTGTGGCAATTGGTTTGAGTAGATCGGCCAGAAAAGCAGTGGGTAGAACCTGAGCTTTCGAAAACGGCATGCTAGGAATTTGGGACCATATACCAGATCGAGGATCAAATACTTCAGCAGACTGAAGTGGAGTTAAACCACCATGGCCCTTGGTAAACCCTCCAACGGCGTATAGCCTATTATTTAAGATGGCAGTCTTACAATAGGCTCTACCTGATAACATTGAATTTACTTCACTCCATGAATTTAGAACTGGGTTATACTGCCAAACACACCTCAGGGCTGAAGCTCTAGAGAATCCTCCTAACACATAGAGGCTGCCGTCAACGGCACCGATGGCACAGCCACAAAATGGCATTCTGTCCAATGCATTCTTCCGCCCAAGCCAACCCCTAATAACATCTGCAATTTTTATGCCGGAGCCGACAACATTCCACATCCGAAGGCTGGCTAAACCTTTCCTGGATTCATTTTCTAAAGCAACATTGGGCATTTGAGGCAACCTCTGCCACCTTCTTGACAATGGGTCCAAAGCATACCACAAAAGCTTGTCGCCTTCGACCTTAGTCAATATATAGAGCCATTCCTCCGTTGTTCCAAGTTCTTTCCTTGTATTAAAAAGTTCAGTACTCATGATGGCAGCTTTCCACGCCCGAGACACTAACCTCACATTCAAGTAATTAATCCTTGGAATTCTGGCAAGAATCTGATAAGATATCTCATCAGGAAGGCTGGGAATCAATCTCGGATTCTCTTCGCAATCACATGATGACAACTTTTGCCTTTTGCATGCTCCGTTTCGCGAAACGTCTACAGTTTCACTCATTCCAGCCCTGGGATTATTTAGACTTAAGAATGCCCCCATCGATATATTAATTGATTGCAAGATATTAATATATCAACGCCAGAGCAGCCTTTGATGGCTAAAGATCTTAATCAACGAAAAAGATTATCTGGTATCTGAGACAAGAACAGAAAAGCAGAGTAAATGGAAGGTGTCAAAGTCGAATTAAAGGCCGAAAGCTTTAGTTTACAGCATTACCATCTGCTTGAAGGAAGACCATCAACAAAAAAATATAGCCCAGCAAATTGAAAATTAAGCATAAAAAGGGGGGGAAACAAAGTTCAAAGATCCCCTCCGAAAAACTTCGCTTTCCAAATAAATCAGTTTCAGAACAAATATTCATCAATAAATTGGCAGATTAATTGTTTTGCAAGCACAAGGTTACTAATACCAGAACAATTATACAGAAAATATTAACAAGTTACTTCCTTAAGTATCCTTAATTTTTCTCAGAAACCAATTAAAAGTCAAATAAAAAGGTCAACGTTTTGATCACTTCTCATCCAGCAAGAACAAGAGAGAAATACCCAAATTCCCAAGTTCAACAATTCAACAAGGGTTCTTCAAAAAAATCCTCAATTAATTAAAAAAATTGCAGCAATCGTAAAGCAGAGACAAGTAACAGCTAAATTAAGTAAGAACAATCTATCTACAACCAATTTAACAGCCATGAAACGAATTGAAGAAGAAATTGAAGAATCCACCTTCTATGTTTTAATTCCAAGTGACAGATTTTCCAATAAAACGGCCACGAACAAATTCATGAGCAGTAAAATCTCAGAAAACTATGCTAAAAGAGCAACAAAAAAAAGTTTTCTTCACAGAAAAGGAAAGAATTGAAAATAGAAAATAGGGTAAAAAGGGAAACCTCAACATCGACGGCAAGACGAAGATAGCCAGTAGACGAATCATTTGAGGTTTTGACCCAATCAATTGATAATCTGTACAATAACAGAAGTCTCTTCTGCGGGAACAATATTATATATATATATATCACAATTATTATTAAAATTTTGAATAATAAAAAATTCTTATAATATAATATTATTATTTGAGCAGAAAAGGAGTTAATTTAGTATTCCATCCCTCGTGTAGCAGTGAGTAAAATTTGACTCGAAAAATTAAATTTTTGACTCGAATTGACTTCGAGTTGTAATTTTATAAACTCGATTCAATCCGAAAAATTTCAACTTAAACCGAATTGTAAAATACAACTCGAATAACTCAATTTTTTTTAGTAATTATTGGATTTATTTGAAGTTTGAGTCTAGTCCTTGGATTTTGTATGATTTATGTATATTACATATGAAAAAAATATGAAGAAATATATTTGTATTGTATATATGGTTATAGAAAGTTACTTAAATTGGAATCAAATAATATTATAATATTATAAATATTTACAATTAAATTTAAACAGAAACTTGAAAAATCAACTCGACTCGAAAAAAAATGATATTTAATTTCTTTGTTTAATCAAATATCTAAATTTAATTTGTTAGTTTAAATTTATATTTAAATAATATTTTTTGTCTTTAATAATTATAATAAAAAACGTATAAAACTTTATTAAATTTGCATTATATATATATAAGTGGATGATCTTAAAACATATTTAATCGTTCAATTGTTGTTCTAACAAAACGATACATTAAATTTTTTAAATAAAGTTTATGATTCACGTCATTAAATTGTAAATAAAATAGACTGAATTTGAAAGATCACTTTCATAATGAGACATTATAATATCCGATTTAGAATATTTAATCAATAAGTCGAATATCGATTATACGTCTAACTTTAATTACTAAATTTATTTATTATACGTTCAAATTTAAAAGATTTATTTTAATATAATACTTAAACTAGACGTAATAAATATGATTTAAAGTTTTAAATCGAAAAAAGAATCATACATTTAAATACATTTGAACTAACATATTTCATATTATTTCAATAATAACAAAGTGTGAATAAAATTAAGAATAAGTTAATGTGGAATTTTAACAATGTAACAATGATGAACTCCAAGTTTAGACAGTCAAGCAAATCTTATCACTTGGTGTTGGGCCACAGGAGGGGGCTCTTATAAGAGAAAATAATATGAGTGACCGAAAATATCTTATAATATACTATTTTAATTAATATTTTTTTGATTTGCCAAAATGACCAACAAATTCGTAACGCGAACTCCAATTTCGCAACTCAGTTTCCAATTTCGCAACGTGAATAGTAAAAATCGCAACGTGAATAGTAAAATCGTAAAATCGCGTTGCGAATTTCAAATGGTATCTCTCTGCTTCTAGACTGAGATTTTAAGTGGAAAATAAAACTTGTCTACATGTGTATAGGAATCATCTTTTTCTTAATATAATTCAAAATTTAATTTTTTAAATGTATTTCATTAGTCTGAGTTAAAGATTATTTTAAATTTTAAACTTTAATTAATTGAATTTAGAATAATTTGTAATGAAGATTGACAAATGAAATTGATTTGTTGTTCATTTACATATAAATTTTTTCATTTGTACGAATATTTTTTATAAAAACTATTTATGTACTTTTCCAACAAATTATTATAGATGGATGATAAGAGATAATTTACATATATTCATTGCGATTTTACTATTCACATTGCAATTTCACTATTCACGTTGCGATTTCACTATTCACGTTGCGATTTTACTATTCACGTTGCGATTTTATTATTCATGTTGCGATTTTTACTATTTACGTTGCGAAATTTGAAACTGAGTTACGAAATTGGAGTTCGCGTTGCGAATATTTGTTGGTCATTTTGGCAAATCAAAAATTTTTGGTTAAAATCGTATATTATAAGGCATTTTCGGTCACTGAGGTTATTTTCTCCTCTTATAACGGCAAAATTAGCCCAATACCGTAAACGAGTTAATTATTTAGCCTAATACAACATAAAGTAAATTATTTAGAGATCAACAAAATTTATTACAGTAACTTAGAATTTGTTACGTCAATGTGATGAGTTTTTATAAAATATATTTTTTATTCAAGTTTTTTATCTCGTTATGATAAATTCTAATAAAAATTTTATTTTATTGAACTCGTCATATTGATATGACGAATTTGAATAAAAATATTATTTGGGAAAACTCATCACATCAACGTGACGAAATTAATTATACAGAGTCGAGAAACTCGATTCAAACTTGAAAATCAATCTGTTAATTACTAAATATTTTAGGTTATTTGAGTTTTATTTTACAACTTGATTTGAAATTAATTTTTTTAATTAAGTCGAGTTTATAAAATTATAACTCGAAATTAATTATAATTATATAAAAAAATCTATTAATATCTTAATCGACTCGAGTTTCAGCCGCCACTAATCTAAGGGATTGGTCCTCGTTTGTTTCTGACAATTTCGGGGGCAGGAAGGAACTGCCGGTAAGGGAATTTAAGAATGGCAAAGACAAGTGTCACATGGCACTTCATAATGGTTGATAAGGGAATATCAACCATTATTTTTTCTTAAAAAAATTACTTTATTAATCGGATAAAAATAAAATAATTTATACGAAATAAATGAGTAAAATATCTTTAATCTAATGATTCAAAAGATTTATAAGATTTTTTAGATAATATTTTGATTTTAGAGGATATGATTTTTTATTTTTTAATTTAAGTTTAAAATTTAAAATGTTTAAATTTGATATTAGAATCACATTTATGAAGAAAAAAAAATCACTACCAGTACATGAAATAATTACCGTATAACCGAAAGGAAGTTAAACAATCAATATAGGTATACTCATTTGGTCCCATTTTGTTATCTACCTTTTTGTTTGATTGACAATTATTTAATACTCCACGCCCTACATTATTTATTCCCCTTGCGGTTATATATATATATATTATGTTGAAAATATGAAAACCAGAATCTAATTTTTTTTATTATTTTGATTATGATTAATTAGTAAATTTAAAATGTATTTTTTAATCCAAACATGAAAGTAAAAAATAGTTTTTTATGTTTTAAAAATATCTTTTAAAAAACAGTTTTAACATTTATTTTGTTATATATGATGTATTTTTTATAATTTACATTTTTATTAAAATATTGTGTTATGATCCACAAATCATTTACAAATTAATTTTTTTTTGAAAAATGATTAAGCAAAGTAAAATTTTCAAACCCAAAATCTCAATTGGAGTTGTGGATTTGATTTTATGCTTTATTATTATAATTATTGTTCAAAACATAATTTAAAGGAAATGGGAAAAACTTAAATAAAAATAAATAAATAAAAAACATGAGGTGAGATAGGCTCGAGCTCTCGACTTCAGGATCGCTCACAAGCTATGAGACATACGCACCCGCCAACTGCGCCACCTTGCCTTTCAGCTCCTTCTGAATTCTATAAATAAAAAATTAAGTGCAATATGTCATGTTACATTTTATAAAAAAACTTTGAGTAAACTACGCACTTAATACATAAACTATTAGTTTTGATCCGTTTTAGTATTTAAACTTTTAATTTTTTTAAAATCATACTTAATATTTAATTTTTGTTTCCTTTTAGTACCTTTTGTTAAAAACTTAACGCGTTTAGTATCTAAACTTTTTATTTTTTCAAAACTTAACGTTAAATTTTGAACGAAGATACTAAAACGAAATAAAAATTAATGATTTTAAAAAATCTAAAAGTTTAAATATTAAAACAAATCAAAAACTAGCCGAAAAAATTACTTTCGAAAAACAAAAATGGCAGTGGTGCAGTGGCACTTTGGGGATGGAAGGTCAAATTCCAACAATTTAAAACAATGCTCATATGACACAACACAGATGGTCACCTCTCACTCTGACATGTTAGTTTTACCAGCTCTGTGTGTTTGCAGTCTCACAGTCACCCCTCTTTTACCTTTGTCTTGCTCTCTATTCATTTATTGTTCTCCCAGTTCTCAACTTCAATTTTCCTTCATTGTTCCTGTCTTCTACTTTCGTCATTCATTGCCTCTACCTTTAATGTTTATTGTTCAACATGATTAATTGAGTCAGTAATTTTAGGTATGATGATAACATGTATAATGACATAAATAAAACTTTTAATATTGGATTAAATAGCCTCTTTGATCTTAATTTTTTTCATAATATATTAGTCTCAGTGACGGATCTAGACATTGTTTAACAAAAATGTCTATTTATGGATGAAAATCATTAGTAAACAATCTTTTTGCTCTAAAAATGAAATATTGGGATCAAAATGTCAAAAATAAATATGGGTTAAAATGACTATTTAGACAACGTGGGTATTTTGTCATTATGCTACGGTAGAGTTAGCCCTCAACGTTTGTTTAAAAAAAAACTTTGAACTATATTATTATTTTAGTACTTTAGCTTCTAACATTTTAATTTTTTGTCAAAATAATCCTTATTAGATGGAAACTGTTAGTTGACTAACGGTCAACTCATGTTATGGACGTAGAATTTTCATACGTGGTTAGTTTCTAACATATTATATGTGATGTAACAAAAGTGATGATGTGGCAAGTATCACATCGTTAATTAAACACGTGTAAAAATAACACATTAGTAACGTACATTAACCGTTAGTTAACTAACAATTTTCATCAAACATTAGTTATTTTACCAAAAAAATTAAAACATCGAGATAAAATATTCTAAAAATAGAATAGAGACCGAAATAATCATTTATATAAATATCGGGGGCTAAATTTATCATTATACCATAATTTTATTGGATATTCGTATATTCATATTCAATATCAATCACATATAAATACAAATCACCAAATGAAAGATTCCGATAAGAACATAGCTTCGCTGCCCCCAATAACTCGTTGGCTAACTCATAAATGTGTAGCATTTTACATTTCCATATGATAAATACCTTTCTCTCCTTTGGGTTACCATAATTCCTTGAAAAAAAACTCTTCCCCTCTCGTTGTCTCAGAGATGAAGAACGGGAAGATGACTAGGGGTTTCATGTGCCGGTCCACATCGGTAAACGCCGCGTGCATGGCGGTCGATCCTCGCTCCGTCGTGATGCCGAGAAGAAGGCTCGACAGACTCCTCATAGACGATCACGACAAAAGGTTAATCAACGACAATGCTAGGTATTCCAGGCTCGTTGAGCCTCGACGATTTGTTGGAGCTGACATGAAGAGACCAAAGCACCTTCAGCAACCGGTTCAAGTAGCTTCATCGGAGCTTGTTTTTCAGGTGATAATGTCTTCTATTACACAACCTTCAGACATATTACATACATGTATACATCATCTTCACCAAGAAAACAAGACAATTGCAGGTGGTTGTCATGCGGGTGTCCATTCACTGTCAAGGTTGTGCTGGTAAAGTGAAGAAACACTTATCCAAAATGGAAGGTATTTAAAATCAATTATATATATATATATATATATATATATATATATATAGGTGAATCTGCTTTGTATATTCCTTACTTAATTTCCTTCATGTCATTTCAGTTAAATCATAGTTTCATGTTAGCATGGGAGCTTATACTTAACCATATTGATGCTTTTTTTTTCACCCAAGAAATCGATAGTCAGCACTTAGTATATAAAAGAGTCGAGGACCGACGTTTTTGCCTTCCTCGTCATATTGTTTTCAGCTTGTTTTTTTTCTTCAAGTTTGCAAGTTGCACCAACAGAGCAAATGGGAAAGGGGGCGGCATTGAATGTACCTTCAAAACCTAAGGGCTAAGGCCATAGATCAGTACATTTGAGGTGGGAGGGGTAATTAGGGTTGGACATTTGATCTAAACTTACGGTTTTCTATCCGACTTGATCTTATAATATCGTTTTTTGTAAATTTAGGGTTCGTATCAAGATTTTTTAAATACGAGATCGGATCAAATTATGATTTAAGATAAAAAAATGTCCGACAAAAGAATAATAGTATAATTAACCCTAGCAATGGGTTTCACATGGATCATTAGGCCAACAACACTTAAACCCTAGCTCCCGTGACAGTCATCAACAGGGGCAGATCAAAGGAGGCGGGTGAGAATTGTTTCATTGAAAGTTTCAAATTTTTATAGATTTTAAACATAATTTTCTATTAATAATATGCCTTTGTCTCTAAAATTTTATAAATTCACATCTAAAATCTTATGTTCGTCCCTATAATTTTTTTCCTTCAGATAGGGGCAAACCCAGCTACCTTGCTGTAAAACAATAAATACAAAGTCATGAAAGCACATTATATTTTTGTGATTGGCTGATGCAAGAAGTAATTGTTTTGTGATCGGAAAAGCAGGGGTTACATCGTTCAGCATCGACGTTGAGAGCAAGAGGGTGACGGTGATGGGGCACGTATCGCCGGCGGGGGTTTTGGAGAGCATCTCGAAGGTGAAAAAGGCCGAGTTCTGGCCTTGTTGATGACAACCCATTTACTTGAAAAAGGAAAACTGAGTGGGAATTTGGGTAAATTTCATTTTAATGTTAGTGTGGTCCTTAGTCGACTGGGTAGGTGTGCGTTTTGGAATATGTGAGAATTGTGAAGTGATGGATGTGGACGTTGCATGCATGTTTTGACAATGAAATTTATTTTTATTATTATGGCTCAATCATATATTATTTAGATTTTTATTTCAAATTTATTATAGTAGTTATTTTTAGAAGTTTTAATTGTACCGACATAAACTCTCTTTTGTATGATTTTTGTTTATGGGAAACATCGAAACAATGTATCATGCACAAAACATGGTAAATATAATTTAAATGTTTAATATAAAAATAAGTGACTAAAAGTTTCGAAAAAAATTTAAGTGTTTAAAGAATTTTTCGTTAAAAATAATTGTTTAAGGGTTTTTTAGTTAAAATTTTATGTGCTTACCGTTTATTTATTTTTTATTTTTTTAATAATAAATAATATTATTTTTAATTAAAAAAGAAGAAACCCCCACCCGTCTCTCAATATACGAACGATCGTCAACAACCATTGTCATCGTCGAACATTGTCACCCGTCATCGCCAGCAACCACCGTCAATGGTCGCCCTTATTGTCACCCAAATTCCCTAAATTTAAAATCCTAATATCCAAATTCCTAATTCGCAATTTTAATTTCCTAACTCAAATCTTAATCCAACCGTCATCGGTCATCTCCAACCATCATCATCATCTCCGAACGATTGGGTTTTGACCGGAATTGCACGGTGGTTCGAATGGTTTCGACGGTGTGGCGTTTGGATGTCGAAATTGACCGAAATCGACGAAGAACCGAAGACGACGACTTAAAATCTGACGAACCTTTGAACGATTCTCTACGAAAAACAGTGGCAGCTCACGACGAAAGATCAACGAGGTTTGATCAAGGGTCGACACCGGTGTTGATGACAGTGGCGATGACGATCACCACTGATCGACCAACGACTATGAAAGAGGAAAGAGGAAAGAGGAGAGGGAAGAGAGCACGTTACACGGGAGGCTTTTGGATTCCCCTTGTTTTCAATAAAAAAATATTTTTATTTTTTAAAAATAAATTCTTAAAATTATCTGAACATTACATGTGTCACCTAACGGAGATATATTTAACTTGGTTAACGTCCGACCACCTAAAATGATAACGTTGAAAACATTAAGTATCTATTTTTAGCGAAAAATTCTTTAGACACTAAAACGTTTTTTTGATACATAATTTGAACACTTATTTTTGTATTAAGCCCAATTTAAATTATAAATAGTCTTTTTCAATACGAATTCTTACTTCTAATGAAAATTTTAAATAAGCTAAAAAAACCAATATAATAATAGCAATCACGCTACATGAGCAAATAATGACTAAATTAAAGTTTTATTATTATTATTTGCAAGCAATTAAGATAGAATTTCATGACCCATATTTAACCTTCATGGTTTAAGAAATGGAAAAAATGTGGAATTTCCTTAAAAAGTACGATTAATTTGTTTTAGTCCATTTTAAGACTAATTTGTTAAGCTCAAGGTTATATATTGTATATATACGTGTAATGACTAAATTAAGAGGAGATTAAAGCTTGAACATACTACAAGTGTTTTTGACTTTGTAACGTAGCCATGATTTCATGCTGTGTTCACATCAAATGGTTGGTTTCAGTCCATAAATGCAAAATATACGTCTTTTGCCTTCTGTTTCCAGGAGCTTAGAGTTCAACACTGTCTGAGAACAGATTTAGAGTTCACCTAATCTCGACATCCTTTAATCTTCGATGCCCGATTCGTATTTAGATATAGATATCGATATAGATACAAGGTCATGAACTTATGATGATCGTTTGAGTGTGTGAATTTATGTTAAATAAAATCGAGCATACTTATATCGAATCTAAACATGTTATCCACTGGTGGGTGCGGATTTGAATTGAATCTTGTAGGTTATAAACAAAGCCCCTTGAGAGAATGGCTCACCCCGAAACTGATGAGAATGGCTCCAAGGAGACGGAAAGCGCTAGTAGCTTGTTGTCTTGTCGTAGTTCGCAGTACATTCACAAGGTTGGAGTGCCTCTGAAGCAACACCTGTTTAAAGAATTTGCAGCAGCTGTGAAGGAAACCTTATTTGCGGACGAACCTTTGAACAGATTCAACCGAGCTCGAGAAAGTTCCTCCTCTGCCTCCGAGCGGTTTTTCCGATATTTGAATGGGGAAGGGACTATAATCTTTCGAATTCAAAGGCGATTTGATCGCCGGGCTTACTACTGCAAGTCTTTGCATTCCACAGGATATTGGATATGCAAAGCTTGCCAATCTTGATCCCCTATACGGACTGTGTATGCATTCATACTGATTACATATAAATATGTATGTATTCTGGTGTGATCATATTGATTTGAGGAATTTGATTTCAATTACATGACAGATAGTAGCTTTGTTCCACCTCTTGTGTATGCATTCATGGGAAGTTCACCACGGGATATCGCTATCGGACCGGTGGCAGTCGTGTCTCTTCTGCTCGGCAGTCTGCTGCAAGATGAGATTGATTCATCTGCTAATCCGGTTGACTACCGATACCTTGCGCTCACCGCCACTTTCTTTGCTGGCCTCACTCAATTGCTACTTGGATTTTTCAGGTAATATCACTCTCAGGGATTCGTTATTCGAACTTCGGTGTCAGTTTCACATACGGGTATGCTCGGTTACAGGTTGGGATTCCTAATAGACTTTCTATCTCATGCCGCCATAGTCGGTTTCATGGCTGGTGCTGCAATCACCATTAAAAATGAAAATAGGGGAAAAAGCAGAAGAAATTATTTTGGGTGCCGGCCATAGCTCCGTTGATCTCCGTCATCCTCTCCACCGTTTTAGTGTATGCCACACGAGTCGATATGCGTGGGGTTCAAATCGTACGTATAACATATCATATTTGATTGTTTCCCTAGCTTCATCTCTTTTACAAAGTAATCAAGATTTTCGTACATTTTGTATATTTAGATGAAAATATCAGAGAAGGCATCAATCCACTATCTGCAAAAGAAATCTTCTTCTCCGGAGAATACGTTGGCAAAGGCTTCAAGATCGGTGTCGTTCGGGTATGATAGCGTTGACGGTACAACAAAAACACAGCCCCCAGATTTGAAATCGAACCACCGCATCTTTCTTTTATATCTAAACACATATATTTTTCTCTTCAGGAAGCTGTTGCAATTGGAAGAACATTAGCTTCCATGAAAGACTACCAATTGGATGGAAACAAAGAAATGGTAGCATTAGGAACAAAGAACATTGTTGGTTCCTTGACATCTTGCTATGTCGCCACAGGTGTAACATACAAGGACACATACATACATACATACATGCAAGCTTACAAACATACATACATACATATGAATCATTGTAAGTTCTTTTCATGTCTGAATGCAAATTGCAGGATCCTTCTCTCTTTCAGCAGTAAACCACATGTCCGGTTGTGAAACAGTTGTTTCTAATATAGTGATGGCCATCGCCGTGCTGCTAACGTTGGCACTCTTCACGCCGTTGTTCAAGTACACACCGAATGCTATAGTCGCTTCGATCATTATATTTGCTGTTGTCGGACTAGTTGACATTGATGCGGTGGCTCTAATATGGAAGGTCGATAAATTCGATTTCGCCGCTTGTATGGGAGCCTTCTTTGGTGTCGTATTCTCCTTCATCGAGATCGGCCTTCTAATAGCGGTTCGTCGGTCACGTACCTAACTTCCGGATCCGTAAATACATGCACTAAACATCTATTTCTTGCTGCAATAGGTTTCAATCTCATTTGCAAAGATCCTATTACAAGTTACAAGGCCTAGAACAGCAATCCTTGGAAAAGTTCCGAGGACTAATAATGTTTACAGGAACATCTTGCAATATCCAGATGCAACAAAAGTTGCAGGGATTCTCATTGTTAGAGTTGATTCTGCAATTTATTTCTCCAACTCCAACTATGTAAAAGAAAGGATTTTGAGATGGCTAGCTGATGAAGAGGAAGAAGGAGAACTGAAAGGAAAATTCCAACCCAGAATTCAGTATCTGATTGTTGAAATGTGCCGTAAGTTCATCTTCAAACTTTCATATCTGTTTTTTTAGTCCCAACCCAGGATTCAGCGTCTGTTTCTTAATCTATTGACAATATATACATTTTGCACATGCAACTGTTTCTTAGTCTATTGAGAATATATACGTTTTACACACGCAATTGATCAAACTCAGAACCCAAAATTTAAACTTTCGAAATTTAATCCCAACCCAAAATTCTGTATATGTTTCTTAGCCTATTGATAACATACACGTACTCTATCGACAGAACTGATCGAACCTGGATTCTCCTTCTTTTTCAAGTTTGGCAAGATGGGTTCCTTTTCTTATGAAAATTGCATGTTCTGGCAGCTGTTACCGACATTGACACTAGTGGCATCCATGCTCTTGAAAAGAGGAATGTTAAGCTAGTTTTATCAAATCCAGGGCCAGTTGTGGTCGACAAGTTGGATGCCTCAAAGTTTGCAGATTTGATAGGTGAGGAAAGGATCTTCCTCACTGTGGCTGATGCAGTTCGGATATGTTCTTCAAAACAGGAATTAGAACCCTAAATTATTGTGTTCCACGTTACATTTTCTTGTCAAATTGTTAAGATGAAAGTTAGTCCAAAACCCAACAGAACCCTTTGTTCACGCTGGCCAAAGCTGCCATTGATAGGGACATGCAAGCTAGAAACAGGAAGAACGCGTATTGTTAATTAGGGGTCTGTATTCGATCTAGTCGAATTGAGACAATTGTTATGATCAAATTGATAAACCAACAGATGAATTGATGATAAGAAAAAAATTGTAAAAAAAAAAACTTAATTTAATAATAAATGTTTAAATTATATTCAAAATCAAAATTAATTTTTAATGCTTTAAGATTTTTTAAAAAAATAAGTTTCTCATATTTTCTCCGTTATATTTTTAGGTGTCTCCGTTAAAAAATCAGTTAAGTGACATGTATCAATTTTATATTTTTAATTTTTTAAAAATTAAATGTTATTCAAAAAAAAATTTAAAAAATCTAAACGCAACACGTGTACTTAATAATTTTTTAAGGATAAATATTTAAAAGTGTAATGAAGAAATCATTAGAC